AACTTCTATGTTTTACAAAATGGTAGCTCAGTATTTTATTGGGAAAACAGATGTAATTTTACCTTTCTAACAATCATTGCATCTGTGCAGTAAGCACACAAGATTTGTGGCTTTTTACTGGATGGTTGAGTGCTGTGAAATACTTTATACCTTTTAATGCTTTTTTTTCCATTTGATAGCTTTTACCAATTAATTGATGAGATAAATTTGGAGTCAGTTGGAGGCCAACAATGGGAAGTTCTCTGCTTAATACAAAAATACCTAAACAAATTTTTTAATACATATTTTCAGTGATGGACACAATCATGCAACATGAAATTTGTTTTAGCAAACATTTAAAAAGTAGCTTGACAAGAATGCTTTTTTTTCCATTTGATAGCTTTTACCAATTAATTGATGAGATAAATTTGGAGTCAGTTGGAGGCCAACAATGGGAAGTTCTCTGCTTAATACAAAAATACCTAAACAAATTTTTTAATACATATTTTCAGTGATGGACACAATCATGCAACATGAAATTTGTTTTAGCAAACATTTAAAAAGTAGCTTGACAAGACACTGTGGAGTTAGATTCGAGGCGCAGGAATGCTGTCCTTTTCTCACATTACAAGATGGGAGTGTTTTCTCACAATTTTTTTATACCCTTAGTGCTATATCAGTAGCCTCCAAAAGACGCCATTTTCAGTAGTAAATTCAGAGTATAAAATTCTAATTTTCTTCACTACGTGTTTAGACATTTTAGGACCTAGGTGCAGCTTTTTATACCAAAACTGGTATCTGGCCTAACCTTCCTTTAAAGAAATCTATTCCTGTCTCCTGTCATCTGCAGGCTCTATGTAATTAAAGCCCCCAATGACGTCTAAAGGTAGGTAATGAAAAAGTTGCAGTCCCAAAACTTTCACTATACAGGACACACAGGTACAGTACTTAAAATAGTGCTCTGAACACTAGTGTCGTTCCTGTCACTTCAGAGAAAGCCCCCAGGCATGAGTGTGCTTGTAGACCTTCAAGAAGAGGTCAAGTAGTTGCTGGTTGTAAAGTGCAAAGCTGTGCGTTTGCGCGTGGCATTGTGTGTGGCAGCAGGGCTCTGGTCTCGGGGTGCTCTGTGAATTCTTGGAGGGACAGAGCTAAAGCTGTGGATCAGTTTTTACACTAGCTGTAGACTTGTGTGACAAAGCAAGGCAAGTTGAGTGCACTGTGTAAACCAAAGCCAGTATCCAAAATGAGAGATCATAGAAACTGCGGAAGGACAATACCTTGTCAGGCAAGATCTAACTCATACGAAGCAGTTCAGAGTCTGTTAGAAAAGGTGTTTTGTGTCTTCTCTGGAATAAGAGGAGAGGTTTAGATGGAACTACAGGGACATACTGATGTGATACAGAAAAAAGTTAAGTTTGTTACTGCTCAGTGAAACTGATCATTCTAGCTCATTAAAAATATCAGAGGTTTATTTCAGTATTAATTTGCTTTGTGTAGAAGCTGCTACTGCTCTGGCCATTCTGGCAAATCAGAACTAAAGCTTCATAGTTTCATACTGCACTTTTGGGTAAATCCAGCTGAAAAGTTAAAATCCAGAACATGACAACACTTAAAATGCTGACCAATTTTATTAGAGCACTAACATTGGTAGGTAAAAAAACCAGTATGAAATATTAACACTAGCAATGCTAGTCGTAATACATGAAGTAAATTGAACAATCTACTTCATCTGTTTTTACAGAATATAAACAATTACTCCTGCAGCTAATATCCCTTACTATCGCCTTATGCATCTGCAACTTTTCTACTTTTTTTTTAACCATATCTTCCATGATACTTTTCAAATTGGGCCTTAATTGTTAAAAATTTAGCACAAAACAGACAAAATGCTGAATCAAGGCAACTTCAACTGCTGCAGAACAATCTCATTTTGTTTCCACCTAATATATTGATTGTATTTACATTTTAACTAAGCAGTGATTCAATTAACAAACATGGTGATTATCCAAAATATACACAGTATATAAATCCCCTATCAGGTCTGGGAGGAAAAGGCCATCCTGATGGACTCAGAAATCCAGGCAGCTGGAAGCAGTCTTACGAAGATGCTCTTTTCTGTTCAGAAAAAGGAGATTCATAGGCTTCCATTGGTGGGCAGGTACAAACCAGGTGTTGATCTCCATATATGTCATCAATGCGAGCAATTGTGGGCCAAAACTTGTTTTCAGGCTTCACAAATGGCTAAGTACAGAAGAAAAAAACCCAACTATTTTAATTTTTCTACCAAGCAAACCTACATAATTGTAATAGATATTACAAGTTTTAAGAATGACAAATGCTAGAAAAGTGGCTATTTTTAAGTGATGTCATACTTCAAATCTTCACTGAAAGTTAACAAGCATGTATAACAGAGGTGGCAGTCAATAGACCAGGTCCTCTAACAAATGCTTGCAAAGAAGCATTTGTCATGGGATAAAAGAAAACTATGACCCTTTGAATAACCGGCTTACAGATAGGAACCATGGAAAAGTGAAGGAGACTACCCAGGCCTGTGCTGTTCAGTATAGTTATAATGTAATATATAGAACAAGGTGGCGAACTTCACAGGCACAGTTAAATTCTTCCAGTACATAACAATATAATAGATGCAATTCAGTTTTAGGTGAGAAAAGTTGGTTGCACTTATATTTAGCTGTTAAGACTGTGGAAGCAATTTTATGTAGTGCTCTGAAGAAGTCTGATGTATCCAGCTCCAATTTGACCTTTATTTGTAGCAGGCTCACATTTGTGGGGCGTGCCCCATGCTGACCGTGCATCTTGTCAAACCCTCATCCAAGTTCTTGGGAGCAGAGTTGTGAATGCCAGGACATGGGACTCTGAGAGCCCCTGGTGCTCAGAACTGAACGGGCTGTTTCCCATAGGAATATCCAATACTGAAGTGGTGCAATTTAGAAATCCAAGTTTGCGCTTCATGTGTACAGACTTCTTTTTAAAGATCCTTTTTCCTTGTCTTGAAAAACAAAACTAATGGAACTACTGTAGAGCTCACACACATAAAAAATTGAGCAACAGTAAAATTGGCTCTGAAGTTTTTATTCTTACCAGATTACTTCATCTCCAACTGACCACAAAACCACAGAGCAGAAAAAGCAAATTTATGTCTTACCACACCACTAGGACCCCATTATTTACTCACCAGTGGGAATGCTGCCACTTCTCTGGAATAAGGACGATCCCACTTGGAAGAAGTGACACAGTTCAGAGTATGTGGTGACATCTGCAAGCAAAAAAACATGTTTAGGACATGAAATTACTGAATTCAGTTGAATGTATCAACCTTCCTTCAAGTTTACATTACTACATATAAATAATTACTGTCCAGAGAGTTTCTTCAGAATAGCATTTCTGTGGGGGGGGAAAAAAAGGCAGATTTTTAAACAGGAAGCAAGTCAGTATCTGGATTTTTTTGTTTGCCTGAAGATACTACCCAAAGTCTGAATATGCTTCCCGCTTTTCACTAAATCCCCTCGGTATTTATAAAGTCTGTACAGCATTACAGGAGTTGGACAGAACTTAAGCCTATAGCAATTTTGTGCTGCAGTTGCTAAAATAATTCATTCAATTTTTACTTTGCTGTTAGTTTTAAGGTCATTCCTCTTAAACCAGATAAATAAGCATCTTTCATTCATCACTTTGAGACGGCCTCAAAAATTATAATCATGTGCTTGTATAAATAACTTTGCTCTGTCAGCAAAGGCCAGACTTCTGACTTGAAAAAGTCAACATTCAAATTTTGAAAAAGTTTAAAGTTTCTAAAAAAGTGAAATTTCAGTAAGTTCATGTGTTCACTGTTGCACACAGTTATTTTGCAGAGTACTGAAAGACCAGAAACCAGGCTCATGTGCTCTCAAGTAAGTCTCAAGGGTTAAGCTGATGCTGATAACTTGCTCTACCTGCCATCTTACCTTTAGTGGGTTAATTTGGGGGTCCATCCTGCCCTCCTCTATTTCAGCAATTTCCTGCCGAATACTGATCATCGCATCACAAAATCTGTCCAGCTCTGCCTTGTCTTCAGACTCTGTTGGTTCAATCATAAGTGTCCCAGCCACTGGCCAGGACATGGTTGGAGCATGAAAACCTGATGAAGAAGAAATCAGTCACGGACCAGAGGTTATGAGTTAATACATGCATTAGTTAGCAATTTATTCACAAATTCATCCCTTTCTATGATCTTTACATGGCTGAACTCATGGGTAGTGTACTGTAGAGGTAAGAGACTTTTCAGGTATCTTAGTTTTTAACGTTGAAGGGGTAATGCCATTGCATTATTTACAATGGAGATATACACTGATTTAATGAAATGGTTTTAAAACCTGCTCGTTTTTTTGCTTTGTTACTTTTAAGCCCAAAGTATAACTACATGATCTTTAAGGTCCCTTCCAACCGACACCATTCTATGATTCTGTCCTGAGTTATTTCTCTTTCTGCTGCTCACTTCAGTAGAAGTGTTTTGTCACTTTAGCTTCTTAGGCTGAATGGCAAAGTAAGACGGGTATAGATTTCTATACTGGTAAAAAAGGTAAAAAGAAAAGGTGGTCTCTCATGATTATCTCTCTAAGCCCTTAATGAACATGAGACCTGAAATGATTGTGAGATATTCACCATCCATAAGCACAGGACTAGAATGTTTCCCTTTAGAAGAGATTTAGGAAATTCTCACTTACACTACTATTTTTAAAAAAAGACATTTGGCTTACCGTAATCCTGAAGTCTCTTAGCAAGATCTACAGCTTCAATGTTTGCTGATTTTTTGAAAGGTCTTGTATCCAAAATGAATTCATGGGCTACATAACCTGTAAACGAAAAAGTGTACCCTATATTTACTTACTAGGAGAATAATGCAATCTATCAAGCAGTCTATTCTGATTGGTTTTGTGGAGAACATGGCAAAAAGACAAATTAAAAAATATCCACTTGGGCAAAAACTCAAACCTGAGAAATTATCAGGTAAGAGATACACAACTCAGTATTTGAAGACGGGCCGTCTGAGTCCCACGTCACATTAAGAGGCCTCATTTCCAAGATCAGAACTAGGAAAGGGTGGTCAAAACAGCTTCTGTAATTTACAAGTACTCAAAAAAAATTAATTGGATTTGTCAATGCCCAAACAGCATTTAGGTGTCTTAGGCTATCTTGAATTTAATCATGTGCAAGATAATCAGTTTCATGATGTTGTGCCAAAGAAAAGCTCAAATGTGGTGTTAGAGAGAGGCTAAAGACATAAGTTATCTAAATTTCTATCATCCTGGAGAACCCTGCTCCACTTCACTGCTGAATCCTTCCAAATTTGCAAGTTCCTTTCAATTCTGTGAGGAAATAATATATTCTCTTAAAATGCAACCTGCCGATTTAGCCAAGGTGTACTCCATTAAATTTAAGACATATTTTGAATAGTATACATATTGTACTCAAATGTTCTTTGGTGCTATTCAGCTCTGATAGTTACTCTTTTATGACAGGTAATTCTTTCACCTCTTATTCTTTACTTATGTCCTGCTACAAAACTGGAGAGCTGTCACAGGGAACTAACATGTAGCTAAAGTATTTTGCATTGCCAACGGGCTTCTCCCCCATCTCACAAAGGAGAATAAGGAGCGGAAATGAGAGAAATTTGGTGGGTTTGTGTTGGGTTTTTTTTTCAGAGAAAGTACAGGTCCAAAAATTGCTTCCAGTTCTTCAATTGTTGTGCCATTGGGTATGGGAGATTTGGAGGTCTCAACTTTGTTGCTTCTCCTTTTTCTACTGTTCATTAATCTGCTACTAGACTTCAAGGAGAACAATCTGATGCCAAGGTTTACTCCATCTTTTGTCATAATTTCATTGAATTACAACCAAGCATTTTTTCTTCTCCTTCCAAATAGCTCTTCTTCATTGCAATACCTCCACAGAAGCAGTGTGGCAGGTTATTTCTCTCCTTGCGAACAATATCAAGACAAGTTTGAGATGCAGCTGTCATGTGGCATTAAAAAAGAATCATACTGGAAGCCAACTTCTACATTAGGGAGAAGAAAAAAAAAAAAGCAGCTTTGTAGAAAAAAGCAAATACTTGTCCAATACTTGCCTCTTGCTCCTCTGAAAAGGATTTTGTAGTGCTTCTCCAGCCTCTTTGCCATGTAGTTTGCATTTAGTATAGCAATCTCAGAAGCGTGTTTCAGACCCTTTGCTCCCATTGTCTGAAAGAGGAATATCATGAAGAAACAGATCTAAAAACACTCTCAAGCAAGCTAATTGTGTTCTTGTATTGGCAAACATGATCAACAATGGCACCTTAATGCATCTGGGTAGCTTTAAGGCAGTCACACTGCTATTACACTTTTCTGCACTACACTCACAGAAAAGCACTGGGCATTACTTGAGATCAACTTTGGTATACAGAGCTTATGAATTTGCTTAGTGTATAAGTTTTTGCTTATGACCTATAAGTGAACAACTCAAACCTTTCCTCAGACTGAGAAGCTCTGAAGTGAATAGAACAGAGTGAGCAAAACTCAAGAATGTCATCAGCACACTGGCAAGAAGTCCACACGCTGCCTGTCGCCATCCTTACCCCCACGGAAAGATAAGAGCCGCCCAAAAAGCTATGTGTGCTGTCTGTACAGATTACCTCAGCTTCTGGTGCCATGTCACAGATGATACCGTGCATTATAACAAAGCCCAGAGCCAAATGAACACAGATGCACTTATTTCTCTGCTAAGGCACTGCAAAAGGACAGTACTGGAATTAAGCTGTGGTTGAATTTCTTAACACTGGTCTTAGAAGTTAAGTTGGCAAAGGAGAAAATCAAAACAGGCTTCAAGGTAGCCCCTTTAGATGGGACAGTGTAAACAGATGGCACTTTGCATTGTGAAGAAACAGTTTCCCTTAAAAATTTACTACAGTTTAAATATTCTGTAATAGGAACCAGCTTCCAGTCACCCACAGCTGATTTGTACCCACAGCTGAAAAGCCACCATGGAAGTTCCACCAGCTCATGTTTGCTCATTTCAAATGCCACAAGAGCTGGTTTCCCTGGGAGTGGAAGTTTCCATGGTTAGGGTATCAAACTGGCTACAGGGTACTCTGAATGACACTGCCCTTATGTTCACCATTCCAACTCTTTCTCTCACTGAAAGCTTTAAATGTTGCTCAGAGCCCCAGCACACTTCTTCTCAAACAGAATTTGAATCTACACTCATCTCTGTTGGCTCACTACTTCCATATATGTAGCTAAATATTTGCAGGCTTATCACTAAATTGCAAGGCATTAAAAAATTACATAGATCATGATCAGGTTGTCACACATCCAAAGCCAAAACTAAGCTCAGTTTTCAAATTCAGTAAAATCCCTTGGAATTCAATTTCTTATTAAACAGATTTTGGCAAGTTAAATGTTACATACAGGTCAAGTATAACAATACTGTAGCATACAACCAAAAATATTCTTGGAAGAAAGTAATTACCAAGCAGCTTTTAAAGATGAAAACTTCGGTATTTGAGACAGTGGAGGGTCAAGCCTGATTGCAGCTTTCTGCCTTGTGTCCACTTGTCTCAAAGATTATTACAGACAAGAGACAGAAGAGTTAAGCAGGCTGCGTAGATACAGCAGTTGTCCTGCCATCCTTTCCAACTGCAACAGATGGCAATAGGCTACTCCATTGTCCTGCTGGAAAGCTAGGAGGTTCAAAGGACGTAAGTAACCTAAGACCATGCTGTAGTCATACACATTTCAGCCT